GCATGTAACCAATAATAATATATGTGTAATAGCATTGTCCGGTTTTGGCACCTTTGATATTTTACCTAATTGCCATGATAAAAACCAATCGAAAGCTACAGCAGATAAGAATTTGATCAAAGTAATACTGATGAAGATGATAGTCATCATAAGTAAAATTGAACTTGTTGCTACACATCCTATAGTTGTACCATCAATTTTACCCACTAAAAAATGATCAAAGCATTTAGCAATATCTTTTGTTTTTTGGGTACGAATTATATCCATTGTAGCATCACGGCCCACGAGACCTGAGAGCCAAGTGGTCACATCACTACTACCAAGCCATTGATTGTCTGATTGTAAATTTAAATATGCACTCAAATCATAGACATTCTCTTTAAATACGAACAAGTTATTTTTGGTATTACTGATATTATCCCACGTGTACCCAACAAAAAGGTTCAAATCTAAATCTTTTAATGCTTCATTTGAAGCGGGGGAGGTGTGACAATGATATCTATTGTCACCAGTTCTAATAGCTAAATCACAAATGCTACCATTATTTACTGGTGAAGTATTGCATCCTAAAGCTTGATTATCTGGTCGAACTGGAAAGGAATGGTCCTAAAGCTGGTAACCGTGGAAAGCGTGATTATCTGGTGGAAAGTAGTCCGAAATATCTTTTCCAAACCTGTCCGAGACAAGTGGAAATAAATCCGAATCATTAAAAGGAAAGATTGGACGATGACTACCACTAGAGAAGTAAACGCCAGTATTGTAAAGTCGACCACGGACAATGTGTACTTTCATGCCTGGCGCATCAGGGCCGTAAAGTCTAAGGATGTCTTGTGGATAGAGAGGACGTTGTATTTGACATGCAAATTGTGAAAATCCGAATGTCAAAAATCCCATAAATAAGGAGATACATAAAATAATGAAACACAATGCTACTTTTTCACGCCATGCCTGACGAGTATTAGGATCTTTCATTCGGCAACATGCTGACAAAACAGGGCCTATACAACATGCAGTGACAACCCAAGAGAAATAAACCCATAAAGTTTCCTTATCTCTAGGAGCCATGTCTTTTCTTACATGAGGTGCTGTGGTGATATGCGGCACTTTATTTCCAGTAGAATTTACGTCTACATTAACATATAGGGCTTTGTGACGACTAGAATTTTTAGGATGAAGTGATCTTCTAGTATCTCTGCGTTCAAGTGGCATCATAAATCCCCTTGGTGATGAATAAGGATCTTCCACACTTGGTATTGGAATATGGAAGTAATCACTCTTTGCATACGGAGCAGAATATGGTACCGGATCAGATGGACCCTTTGGAATAATATTTGATGGAGGAGCTTGGATTCTATTTGGTAGAGATGGAGGGACACCAGGAACATAATTTTCTATAAAATCCGCAGTACGATTATGACCAGCTTCTCGTGCAAGAGCAACAGAAGTTTTACCATTTTTTGCAGTAATATGCTTGTTAGCATTATTTTCCAACAATAAATGACACACATTTGAATGACCTGAAAACGCCGCAAGCATTAAAGGTGTCCAACCATACTATAATAAATTACCAGATTTAAATTAAACTTACATTTAATTTATTATAATTGATAAAATGAATAAACATTCAAACCTCATCTATAATATTGGCATTGGCCCCTCGAGACAATAAAATTTTGATAACTTCCACGTGTCCTTCATAAGCTGCCAAGGATAAGGCTGATTTACGTGAATTATCTTGGAAATTTACATTTGCATTACCGAGATCAATAAGGGTTTGACAAACGTCAGCGTGACCATTATAAGCGGCGATAATAAGCGGAGTGATGTTTTCCTAATAATAAAAATATTTAAAAGATTAAATTTAATATAGAAGTTTAAATTTATATTTAAAGAACGCTCGTTATGAATTCGCACAAACATTATTACACAAATCGACACGCGCGTTTGCATTAATCAATATTTCAACGATTTCAACATTTCCCGCAGCAGAAGCTTGGTGCAATGCAGAATCACCATCATTGTCTATACGAAAAACAAAGATAAATCAAACGTATTTTAAAAGTTTAAAGAATCAAGAAAAATACTAACTTTGCAAATCAATTTTTAAATTGTTTAGATTACATAGAAACATAGTAACAAGCGAACAATTTTCACAGGCAGCCACCATAAGAGGAGTTTTTCCATCTCTGTTCCTAAGATTATTAAGATCATAATTTGTTTGATTCAAAATTGATCTAATTAATCCTACATTGTCCTGTAATATAGCATTAAATATAGCTGTTGAAGGATTTGTTGGTGCACCGGCTATCGGTGGTGGAGTACGAGTTGGTGTTGGCATTGAAGATGCTGACGAGTAAGGTGGTTGATAATAACCATCATTGTTATATGACATTTTAGAAATAATTCAATTTTCAAATTATTTGATAGCAATGTAGAAAAAAAGTATAATTTATCTGTTTGAACGCGAATATTTGGAATGAATAACTGCTCTATATGAAAAGGTTGATCTATTTTTGTTGTTGCTTTCATTAAACAACAAAGAAGAGGACGGAGATAAAAAAAAAGGGCAATAAGGAAAAGAATGGTGGATATCTCCGCCTGTCACCCTGAAAGAAGGAAAGGGTTGTCGCGAATGACAATATCTTAAAAGTTTTCCAAATTTGAAATTAATGCGGTGTAACAAAAATTTATGATCAAATTTCGTTAATCATACAATTCTTATAAAGTATGATAATTTCCCTAAAAGCTATGTAGGGTTGAAAATATTCGATAACATTATATGCACCCAGAATTTTGGATAATTTCATAAATAGATAATTCTAATTCATCTTGTATTTTCTTGTTCTTAATATATCCATTTTTGGTGCAATCCTAAAGTATTCTACAATAAAGAATCATCAGATCTAAAAAAAGTACTTTTCAGGAGGTTTAATGCGCAAAAATCTTTGACATTTACGTCATATCGCCTCTAAAAATAGTAACACTAAAAAAACTTTAATTCTGTAAATAGTTGCAATTATGTAAGCTGTATAGTCAGAACCTGGATCTTTGAAAAGAATGTAATGTGTTACAGAATGACAACATAATTCGCAGTTAGTATCACTGCCGCGCCATTTTAAGTTATATTATTTAAGGGATTGCGAT